AAACCCAGAGCTGGTGAGTTTCTGTGTCCAGGGGGTGAAAGAATCGAAGAGGTTCTCCGCCGGTTCAAGAATGAAAACGTTGCTTTGGATATATAAACTTTAGCATTGCCTTGCTGAAAACAATGTGCGTGTCTGTGTGTCGAATTACAAGACTTCTTTTTTTGCTATATGACACGATATAGTCATCTCGACATGGTGTAATGGTTAACAAGCTTGTCTCGCTACGACTGAATAGTGAGTTCGATCCTCACTGGGCGTACCATATTTTCCATTACTACCACATCACAAGTACTCTTACCATATTAGTCCGCTATAATTATTAACATAAATTACTCCTCCCTCCCACCCAGCAAATTTAATACCAACAAATAAAAACCTATAAGGATTACGAATTGCAATTTCTACCAGTTACATATACGGAGTCATCAAAAACAAGAAAATAACCATCTTTAAAATAACAACAAACCAGCCTTAAAAAATTAAAAATAATAGCAATTTTTACCTATCATATTTTTTACACAGACCCCACCACACGTATATACGTGCGTGCGAGGAAATATTATTCAGCGAAAAAATAGAGAAATGGTCTGATTGTTGACATGGCTACATTCAACAGAGAAATAGATACACATCCCATCATTGAAATTCAACAATCAAATGCGCATGTATGTAGACAACAACACATATACATACATATGTCGAGTCCCATACTGTCCACATATGTTTATGTTCGTGCATAGCCTCGGTGAGCGAGCGCGTGTATATGTGTTGCCTGCGTACCTCAACGGGTGTACGGACATGCTTCTATGTTTGCGTTAGCGCGAGTGACATCACGGCGACGATTCCCCCCCACTCCCATAATAACACCAATACACGCAATCTACATAAATCCAAAATTTTTAAAAAATTAATCAGTTTGTCTGATGATCGCAAAAGCGTGAAACCCAGGGACACAAACTCACATCAATCCAACCATATATATATATATATATATATATATATATATATAGATATATAGAGAGAGAGAGAGAGAGAGAGAGAGAGAGTTTATGCAAATTTAGGTAATCCGTATTGGTAGACCTGAGGAGGATAATATCCAGAGAGCTCAATGTAAAATTCAGAGCAGATATGTTTGAATAAAAGACAGACCACGTTAAGATTCCATGTAATAAGCTATTTCACCATAACCCCTTTAACACGGTTCTGGATCATCAGACTTTACTTCCAAAAGCTGAAATGAAAAAATGAAAAGAAATTCACACGTTTTTACGGACCTCATCAAGTATACGCAAAGTTAACGAAGTGAGGAAGTGAGGTGGGAGAGAGGATATGAGTGTGTCATATGTATCATTTCAGTTTCCTATTTTTAACCCCAGTGTGTCGGCTAGATGTTGCTCAAATTTAACGCGTCTCGTCTCTAGATATAGATGGCTAAGGGGTGAATGATAAGACCGACATTAAAGGAAGAAGTTACAACAACCACAATAAATTACACGACAGGTTTCATTCAAATTCTTAGACGCTGTCAATTCATGTTACTTTTAACGTGTCAGTTCATTACTTTATATATATATATATATATATATATATATATATATATATATATATATATATATAGTAAGTAGGTAGAAGTCAACACTTTCATGAAACAGACTGTCGCCTCTAAGTGTTGGGTTCTATGTTCACTTTTATATTTAAACACGCTCTATCTCTGATATTGAGCACTTTATTCCATAAATATAGCACACCTTAAGACTATATTTCTTCATTCATATATATATATATATGCACATAATGGCAAAAACAAGACTGCCCACGGGCACACACGCGAAGCCTACATAGTAAGTGTGTGTGTGTGTATGTATGTGTATGTATGTATGTGTGTGTATATGTATATGTGTACATATGTGTATACTATTTCCTTATAATAAGACAGTATGTGTGTATGTATGTATGGAGAGTGAATATCCGTATGCGTACGCATGCTGGCAAAAACACAAAAATGGAAATAGATCTAAGTAAACACAGGGGTCATTAAAAGATAAGAATATACCTATCTTTCTCACACTTTCTCGGACCAATCTTAATTGTTTTATAACACTTCACGCAGAATTCTTTCACTGCCAGTTCACGGATGACATTTGGGTCACTTACATACAAAAAAGAAAATGTCTAATATCGAAAATAATTAACATCGAAAAACATAAGAAAAAATAATTCCTTTTAATAATATGTGGGAATAACCAATCTTTGCCTGATGAAGTCCGCGAGAACGGAAACACGTATAGCAAAATTATGGAAAATAAAGCATAATATATATATATATTTTTTTAAATCCACATTACAACCAAAAACGTTTTTGGGTTTCTGTCTTTTTTTAATATATATATATATATATATATATATATATATATATATATATATATATGAAATGGACAAAGTCCAACAATTATTTTAAGACATTTTATGTTTATACATTCATTTTATAGATACAAATATTTAAGTAAAGTGAGAGATTCATGGAAGATTGAAGTTTAAATACAGTAAATTCGACCGTGCTAACCGTTCACGCCTCTGTGGCCAAATCGGTAAAGGCACGTCAGGCTATATGACGGTTCCGTATAGGATACAGGTTCGAATCTTGTCGGAGGACGAATATTTTCATTCATGCCGGTAAATGTTGTTTAATATTGTTCATTATAAAACAGAGCATTTACTTAAATATTTGTATCTATAGAAAGAATGTATAAACATAAAGTGTCTTAAAAGTATGTATATATATATATATGAGTGTGTGTCTCATAGAATGTAATGATAAGTGAGGGAAGATAGAAGGAAAAATGGGCGGGAAAAATAAAAAATGGGCGGGAAAAATCCCACGTTTTTTCATGTTTTACATGTGTTTTTATTATCAACTTCACATCGAATATGTTACAAATTTTGTTCAGGCAAATCTCTGACTTTTTTTTTTTTGCTTCTTAGCTAACGAGGGTATGAGAGTGCTAGCCTTGTTCGGCAGGGGTTAGAGTTAACCCTAACCCTAACCCTAACGAGGGTATGAGAGTGCTAGCCTTGTTCGGACTGCTAATCACGATAGTTAATGAGTTCTCTCCCAGAAACTGTAACTAAACTTCCCTCAGCATAGTTCCAGTAGAAAACCACAGGTGGGGGCCTTGTGAGTGTTAGACAAACACAAATGTGCATGAGCAGGTGTCTGATAGCCGCCCTAGTAGACTGGCATTCTTTCAGATTCTGTTATATTTACATATTTATATAACTTTATATAATCACACACACATAAATATATATATATGTACACACACACATATATAATCACACACACACACACACACAATATATATATATATATATATATATATATATATATATATATATATATATAAAATAATTGGAAAAAACCATACATTTTTTTGGTTTTCCTCTTCCTTTTCAAGGCAAAATGAAATCAAATACAGTTTTAGTAAACATTAAAATTCAAAATTAAAAGATAGACGCTTGTCTAAGCTTTTTTTTTATTTTGAATTTTAATGTAACTAAAACAACAAAACATTTCGATTTCATTTTTGCCTTTGAAAGTCGGAAGACGAAACGCGTCGGCAAAATCTAAGATTTTTTCCAATTGTCATTTGATACCAATCTGTCTTGTCCACAGAATTCATCTGGGAATTTAACTATATATATATATATATATATATAGATATAGATATATATTTCAATAAGTCGCAAACATTGTGTTCACCTGAAGATTACTAATATATATATATATATATATATATATATATGTATATATGTGTGTGTGTGTGTGTGTGTGTGTGTGTGTGTGTGTGTGAAAGTGTATATAAATATAAATAAATATAAGTATGTATAATTATTTATATATTATATGCGCGGTACTTATTAGAAAGCGCTCAATATCAGAGATAGACCTAACATATTTGGTTGGATAGATGTGAGTTTGTGACCCTGGGTTTCACGCTTTAGTGATTGTCAGACAAACTGATTAATGTTTTAAAAAATCAACATCATCACTTGATAAGACACCGGAGGTGTTGAAAGAAAATGGCTATTTTTGTAGTCATTTTATAACATATTTATGTTATAAATTTTTTTAAATAAATAATTATATCTGCTCTACTTTGTATTGAGCACTCTTTTAAGAATAGTAATTGTTGGTTATTGGAATTCATTCCGTATACACCAATTATATACAATATATATATATATATATATATATATATATATATATATATATATATATATTATATATATATATATCTGTCCTAGACATTGAGTTCTACCTGGATTCTTCCTCTTGGAAAATTTTTTTCTGAAAATATACATGTATGGGTATTTTTTATATATTTTGTATATTATGTATATTTTCCACCTAATATTATCTATTATATATATACTAATATTTTTTCTATATATATATATATATATATATATATATATATATATATATATATATATATATATATATATATATATATATATCAAGATTTATGCACCTTTTAGTCTCTCCATTCGATCTCTAAATCGATAGTGAACTATCGTATTCTGATCTCTAATATATTGATCTAAGATAATACATATCAACGAATTTCCCTCTCTCATTCTTCCTCTCTCTCTCTCTCCCCCCTCCAATTTCCTCTTATAAGTATTCCGCCGACTCTCGTCTGACAATTAATGAGGGTGTTTCCGAAAATTCTCTCGCCTGACGACCGGATGCGTCACAGGCGATCAAACAAGAGAAGACGGATGTTCACGGCACGTCACTTCCGCCGCGATGTTAGGGTGCATCAAACGCAAGCGGTTGTTATATATGTTAGCTTCTGCTACAAACAGACAAGGGAAAATGGGGGGCGGTAATTTTCTGATGAGGGGAAAAGGAATTAGCTGAATTCTTAAAGTCTGGGGAAATGGTTCGTGATAGGTGTTAAGTAGGAAGAATATTCATATTTACTCCCAAAATTCTAATGTTTAGTCAGTTGGTCAAATTTGGAGCAAACAGAAAACATTCTAGCAACCTCTCATATGTATGTGTAATCTGTATCTATCTATCTATCCCAGTCTCTTCATATCTATCAAGCTATATCTTACTATCGATCTATCTAATTATGTTCATTATCTATCTATCTATCTATCTATCTATCTATCTATCTATCTATCTATCCCAGTCTCTTCATATCTATCTAGCTATATATCTCGCTATCGATCTATCTAATTATGTTCATTATCTATCTATCTATCTATCTATCTATCTATCCATTATCATTCTATCTATCTATCTATCTATCTCAGTCTCTTCATCCCTCTATCTAGCTATCCTCTATCTATCTTCTATCTAATTCTCTAATTATGTTCATTATCTATCTATCTATATCTATCTATCTATCTCAGTCTCTTCATATCATCTATCTAGCTATATATCTTGCTTATCGATCTATCTTCATTATCTATCTATCTATCTATCTATCTATCTATCTATCTATCTCTATCTCTCTCTTTTTATTATCTATCTAGCTTTATATCTTGCTATCGATCTATCCCAGTTTCTATTTATCATCTATCTATCTATCTCTCTAGCTATATATCTTGCTATCGATCTATCTCATTATTCCATTATCTATTCATCTATTCATTATCTATCTATCTATCCCAGTCTTTAATATATCTAGCTATATATCTTTTCGATCTATCTAATTATGTTCTATTATCTATCTATCTATCTATCTATCCTATTCTCTTTCTCATCTATCTAGCTATATATCTTGCTATCGATCTATCTAATGTTCATTATCTATCTATCTATCTATCTATCTATCTATCTATCATTGCCAGTCTTTTGCTATCTATCTATTTTCATTATCTTTATCTATCTCATCTCTATCTATTATTTTCATCTATCTATCTATCTATCTATCTATCTATCTATCTATCTATCTATCTCAATCTTCATATATATCTATCTAGCTATATATCTTGCTATCGATCTATCTAATTATGTTCATTATCTATCTATCTATCTATCTATCTATCTCAGTCTCTTCATATCTATCTAGCTATATATCTTGCTATCGATCTATCTAATTATGTTCATTATCTATCTATCTATCTATCTATCTATCTATCTATCTATCTATCCCAGTCTCTTCATATCTATCTATCTAGCTATATATCTTGCTATCGATCTATGTTCATTATCTATCTATCTATCTATCTATCTATCTATCTATCTATTCATTCTCTATCTATCTCTCTTATCTATCTATCTCTAGCTATACATCTTATCTTCTATCTATCGATCTATCTATCTCATTATGTTATCTATCTATCTATCTATTCATCTATCTAGCTATCTATCTATCTATCTATCTATCTATCTCATTCATCTCTTCATTCCTCTATCTATCTATCTATATATCTTGATCTATCTATCGATCTATCATATTCATTCTATTATCTATCTATCTATCTATCTATCATCTCTTAATTATCTATCTCTATCTATCTCATCGATCTATCTAGCTATATATCTTGCTATCGATCTATATCTATCTATCTATCTATATCTATTCTCTTAATATCTATCTAGCTATCTTATATCGATCTATCTCATTATCTATTATCTATCTATCCCAGTCTATCTATCCCATCTATCTATCTATCCCTATATATCTTGCTATCGATCTATCTAACTCATTATCTATCTTGCTATCGATCTATTCATCTATTCATTCATTTTCATATCTATCTATCTATCTATCTCTATCCCATCTATCTTTCATTCTTAATATCTATCTAGCTATATATCTTGCTATCGATCTATCTCATTATGTTATCTATCTATCTATCTATCTATCTATCTATCTATCTATCTATCTATCTAAGTCTCTTCATATCTATCTAGCTATATATCTTGCTATCGATCTAATTATGTTCATTATCTATCTATCTATCTATCTATCTATCTATCTATCTATCTATCTCAGTCTCTTCATATCTATCTATCTAGCTATATATCTTGCTATCGATCTATCTATGTTCATTATCTATCTATCTATCTATCTATCTATCTATCTATCTATCTATCCCAGTCTCTTAATATCTATCTATATATAGTTAATAAATAAATTATAAGCATTTTAAAATGGGGAGTTACTTTCGAATCATCCTGTATATGTGAGAAAAATATAGTTTGATGTTTCTGAGGATCGCAGCGTGAAATCCAGGGTGACAAACTCACATCAGTCCAACTAAATATGTTGGCTCTATCACTGATATTGAGCGCTTTCCAATAACTACTGCGCATATATAATATATAAATAATATATATAAAAATTTCATATATATATATATTAATGATATCCATATTTGTCTTGATTATAGTAACCACCTTTCGACCTTTGCACTCTTCCAGCCTTCTTCAGGTGCCTGTTGTTTTTTTATAGTCTTCAGGCAATATGAACAGATAGATAGATAGATAGATAGATAGATAGATAGATAGATAGATAGATAGATAGATAGATGTAAATTGACTTTATAGATAGATAGATAGATAGATAGATAGATAGATAAGGAAGACAGTATTTTAGAGATAGATAGATAGATAGATAGATAGATAGATAGATAAGAAAGACAGTATTTTAGATAGATAGATAGATAGATAGATAGATAGATAGATAGATAGATAGATAGATGTAAAGTGACTTTATAGATAGATAGATAGGTAGATAGATAGATAAGAAAGACAGTATTTTAGATAGATAGATAGATAGATAGATAGATAGATAGATAGATAGATAGATAGATAGATAGATATATGAGCAGAATGAGATAGATAGACGTAAATTGACTTTATAGATAGATAGATAGATAGATAGATAAATAAAGAAAGGACAGTAGTTTAGATAGATAGATAGATATAAATTGACTTGATAGATAGATAGATAGATAGATAGATAGATAGATAGATAAAATAGAAACTAAGATAGATAGATAGATAGATAGATAGATAGATAAGAATAGACCGAGATAGATAGATAGATAGATAGATAGATAGATAGATAGATAGATAGATGTAAATTGACTTTATAGATAGATAGATAAATAGATAAGAAAGACAGTATTTTAGATAGATAGATCGATAGTCTTTAAGGTAGTTATATACCAAGCTTTATGTTACTCTGCCAGAAGAAAAAAAAAAATTCGCACCGCGAGTATTGAAATCACTTACAACGGCTTTCGATTGTCGATCAGAATTCTTCATTCAATAGTAGATGCACCATTCCCACCGCCACCCCACGCATGTCCTCATTATTTGAGTTGTCAGTCTTCGAATCAAATGGTTTCTCAATTTGATCGTGTGGCAGTCACGTGATAACCATGTCCCCCTCACCGACCACCCTCGTCCCTTTCGGACACCATGACAACGGACATCCAACGATGACGCATATATCACGCCATAAGCGTTACCATGGTCGCCTCAGTCTGCGGCCTTTTCTCTGAAGACGATCATGTCATTTTTTTTTTCTATTTCTTGAGAACCAGACACGAGCTGTGTGGATGACATGGTAAGTGGGGTGGCTATACGTAGGCGTCTATGTATTTGTTTTCCTTCCCGGGCGTCCATTTTGTTTTTCAGTTTCAGTTTTCCACGGTTTCAGTTACCCGCGAACAACGCATTTCAATATTTGAAGATCAAAGGCAATAAAGCCACTAAGATGCAAGGGGATCACTGAATGTTAGGGAATATGAGAAAAATTACTATTAAGGAGAGAGGACAATAAAAGAACAAGAATTAAGAAGACAGAAGATAACGATTGACATTGTATTTCAATTTTTGAAGATCAAAGGCAATAAAGCCACTAAGGTGCAAGGGGTTACTGAATGTTAGAGAATATGAGAAAAATTACTACCAAGGAGAGAGGACAATAAAAGAACAAGAATTAAGAAGACAGAAGATAACGATTGACATTGCATTTCAATTTTTGAAGATCAAAGGCAATAAAGCCACTAAGATGCAAGGGGTTACTGAATGTTAGAGAATATGAGAAAGATTACTATTAAGGAAAGAGGACAATAAATTTAGAAGATAGAATATAAAGATTGAGATTACATTTCAATTTTTGACGATCAGACTTGATTGGGAAACAGGAAGTTGGAAAAGAAATCCACAAGCGAGAAGTGCGAGAAAAGAAACTGTTAGCATAGAACTTACGGTTACATCTCGCCATTTCAACTATAATACGATAAAGCTTTATTGTGATAATGGCTGAAATATTTAAAATGTTATAACAGGGCCGAAAAAATTCATTTCTTCCCAAGCAAGGCAATAAAGCCACTAAGATGCAAGGGATTACTGATTGTAAAAGAATGAGAAAATTAAAAACTAAGAAGGGAGTGTGATAAAGTAAAAGAATTGAGAAGACAGAAGATATCGATTGATATTGCAGTTAAATTTTTGAAGATCAAAGTTGACTAGAAAGCAAGAAGCCGGAAGAGAGTTCCACAGTTGAGAAGTGCTAGAAAAGAAATAGCACACACACACACAAAACACACACACACACACACACACACACGTTAATATATATATATATATATATATATATATATATATATATATATATATATATATATATATATATATATTCTCTTCCGACTTCTTTTCAGGCTCGGAATGAAACCTGAAATCCAATCGCTTCAGGTGTCTACGTTGCTTGCTTGTACAAATATTCCACAAAAGGTACTATCTGTTTGAAGTCTTTGCACAAACATCACTTGTCTTGAGAAAAGCGGATGTAATGGTAATCAATGCGTTAAAAATTGATTTTGACTCGCTGATTACCATTACAGCCGTTTTTCTTGAAAACTTGAAGACAGATATACAATCGAAATATTGTTGAATATTGCCAATCACCGTGTCTTTTCTTTTATTAAATCGCGTTCTTTTATAACTAATTAAAAAATATTGGAATAGTTACGTCAATCATTTTTTAATAATGACAATAATAATAATGATAAGAAAATTAATTAAAATTTAAAGGCAATTAATACATTAACAGACTATTCTCAAGTAGGTAGCCCATTGCTTTCTCTTGTCACTCTTGCTGTCGATATGTCCTGTGAGTCTCAAATTCTCCAAGCCCGCTTTCCTCATTTTATGTCCAAGAAATTTTAACTGTCTCTTCTGAGTATAAGTAGTTTTATCTTTCATTTTTGATAATCTATTTTCGTTACTTGTGTTCTTCGACAATGGAATTCTCAGCATCCTTCTGTAGAAACACATTTCTGTTGCAATCATGAAAATAAGGAATAAAAAAAAATCTATTAAAATTAATTTGTTTTTCAACCGAGTAACAACTTTTAAAAGCCTTTCTGGTGTTAGAAATCGTTGTTGAACCTATGAACGGGAAATGACAACAGATACGTAATTTAGATGTTGGTTTTCCTGCACAGACGTCATATACATACAGAGTACCCCCAGAAAATGTATACGTACCTCTCCATACACACACACACACGCGTTCGCTCTAGTACAAAGATGTTGATAGTGTTACAGTTATGTAAATTATTGTCGTACTATTGAAAAAAAATCACACAACAGGCTACAATTTACGTAAAATCAAAATTTGAACTGAAGATATAATTATTCATTGAAATGAAAATTAGAATAAATTTGTTGTAAATTGTATGGTAAACACACCAATACAATAATAAAGAAAAGTTTTAATCATCAGAAATAGCCAAAATATATTTCCATGAATAAAAAGATATTACATTAGAAGAACTCATAATTACAAGACCAAAAAGTAATATATATATATACTAGCAACAAGGTGTTCCATTACTGGGAATTTTTGCCGTTCAATTGGAGCAGTCTCAGTTTAAAGTCAGCCCACCTTAAAACCAATATTAATAACAACATTTGTGTTCAACTGAGGCACATCCCCAAATGGGCGTTAAAAATCTGAATGGGGGTGGCCCTGAAAAGAACCGTTTTTGTGTTCTCAATCATGCAAGGAAGGAACCTCTTCCATGGACCGTCATAATAATAATATACGATAATTTTTATTTATAATATAATTTCTTTTTTTAATAATTCTAATAATCTTTTGCGTTAGATTTCAACTCTCTAAATTGATTGTACGCTGTTTTTTACAGACATTAAATTTTGCCATTGATATTTGTGCAAAGTGAAAATATCATTTTTTTTCGATTTTTCAATTTCAAGGTTGCAATTTTTCCAGCCAATTTGAACGAAAAATTATCTAACAAAAAAAATTCATCGAAATCGAATGAAAACTGTGGAAATACATAAACATCATTCGAGCACACCCACCCACACATCTATACGCACACATACATACACACACATTTTGAGAAGTACACACACACACACACACACACACACACACACACACATATATATATATATATATATATATATATATATATATATATATATATATATAATAAAAGGCTTAAACACTAATATTCCATGGTCATAATTTATTCCATTGGAATCTTAAATACGATCCAATTCATCAGACCTACAAATTCAAAAAGAAAAACAGAAAAAACAACTCCGGAAATAAAAATAGAATTTAGAGAGAGGTATGTACGAGTGTGGGACGAATGTTAGAGCTATGTATGTGTATGCATCTATCTATATATATTTATATATTTTGCATATGTATGTGTATATTTTACACTAATATTATATATATATATATATATTGTGTGTATTTAGGCAGCATCTTTTTCTTCATTATCAGACGTTACGAAAAAAAATTACATAAAATAGACAACACTTGTCTATATTATTTAATGAAACGTGCATGAATATATATATATATATATATATATATATATATATATATATATATATATAGAATATTTACTGTTTAATCGTATATAAATCGTACTATAATCTGGGGAGTTACACAGCCCTTTTTAAACGTAAGAATTATCAGATATCTACCTTTATTTCTAACTTTGTTTCAAAACTTACAATTATTAATATACACCTTTGCAGTTAAAATACAAAATAGTGTTAGATTCATACGCTTTGTAACACTTAAAAAAATAACACTTAAGAAGGCCTTTTAATGTTATATGAAACAAACATTAAAGAAAATTACACTGCGAATTTTTTCTAAGCTCTATACTAAACATTAAATCTGTTACGAAAAAAGAATTAAACAAAATGAACACAAAACGATCAGCTTTAAAAAAAGGACTCGTAACTGGAAAAACCGAATGAAAAAAGAATGTTAACAACAAATACTTTTTCACACCCAACCCAGTTCTGCGGAATCAGAATCAACGTTGAGTTTAAGCAAGCGAATGAGCCAATTGGAGTAAAGTTTAAATTTTTCCCACTTGTGACGAATGCAGCTATCGATTTTTTTTTTTTTTTGCATGCTAGCGTGCTAGTTAACATTCGTGTCAGTCAGCTGTTGGCTCTCACGCTGGCCAATAGAATCTTCCTGCCTATTACTGGCAGCCAGCTATAGGCTCTCATTCTGGCCAGTAGAAAATGGCCGCAAACTACATGAAAACTGGCGTAGAAGCATGAAAAAATCGGTTATTTCCACTGTCGATGGGAGTTGGCATTCCCGCTAACTTGGAGCAAGTAAATTTTGGTGCAAATCCGTCGAAAATTGCGGCCGTGCATTCGTTACACACACACACACACACACATCCTGCCTTTTATAGATTGAGATACATATTTTTCCTCATTGATAGCAGGAGTCGGAATTTCATGCACAATGCAATCGTAAGGTGCTGTGTTAAGACTGGCCATTGTATGATTTCAATTTTGTTAAATATATCTGATTATCGCAATGGCGTGGCAGTTTTTCATCAAAGACGGCTAGGAAGAGTGTGCGAATAAGCTTTTACCTAATTTTTCTTTATAAAAAAACTTACTTACCACCAAGTTTAACGCACCTGTTATTGTTAAACGGTCACTTTCATGAGGTATTGACCTGTGTCGACGTTGCTTAACATGGGTGATTGGCCAGGAAGCGGTGTTTGAAAGTGATATGGCTGTAAGGCGATATATGATTTGAATAATGCGTGGGATGTCGGAAAAACAGTTTTTACCATAGCAACACAAATACATCCACTGATTCAGTCAAATCACCAAGACAAAAAAAAAATCCAAGCAGACAATGATCAAAATGAAATCCGTTATTTTTAAAGGTTTTATTTTTTTTGTTTTTTTGTCTTTTCGGAGACACTGACGCCTTTGCTGTCACGGTAACTACCATTTCTTTATGGTTAGATAATGAACATGTTAGACAGACAGATAGATAGATAGATAGATAGATAGATAGATAGATAGATATAGAAAGGACAGTATTTTAGATAGATAGATAGATAAATAGATAGATAGATAAAGGAGAGTATTTTAGATAGATAGATAGATAGATAGATAGATAGATAGATAGATAGATAGATAGATAGAGAAAGGACAGTATTTTAGATAGATATATAGATAGATAGATAAAGAAGAGTATTTTAGATAGATAGATAGATAGATAGATAGATAGATAGATAGATAGAGAAAGGACAGTATTTTAGATAGATAGATAGATAGATAGATAGATAGATAAAGAAGAGTATTTTAGATAGATAGATAGATAGATAGATAGATAAAGAAAGAAAGGACATTATTTTAGATAGATAGATAGAAATGACAGTATTTTAGATAGATAGATAGATAGATAGATAGATAGATAGATAGATAGATAGATAGATAGATAAGAAAGACAGTATTTTAGATAGATAGATAGATAGATAGATAGATAGATAGATAGATAGATAGATATTACCCGTACGATCACCGATATCAAATCCAGTCAGTATGTTCATGAGTGACAGCTTGGGAATACCAGACGCTGTGAGCTTGGATGCGTGGGTGGTGTAATGGATAATGCCACGGAATTATTAATCAGAGATCCGAGTTCCAATACTCGTTAAGTTCATTATATTCAATTACACGCATGACTCGACCTCTTCTCCTCCCAGCTATGGGTTAATTAGTAAGTCTTCTACCACTAAACAACTGTTATCTCTCTCGACCCAAAATTCTTACAATGTTAAATTATTTTCTGGCTTTAAATAACCTGCAAAAGGTTGATAAACCGTAAAAGACGATTCAGCCCAACAAACGTAGAAACAAGATCTCCTACGGAAGGTAGTGAAAGAAAGCGAGAAGAAAGGACTAAACGCAAATCGCAAGAAGACTGAAGACATGGTTGTTAGCAAAAGAGAAGAATCCAAAATATAAATTACAAATTGGGGATAGCAAAAGCAAGTGCAATAATTTAAATATTTGGGAAGTCTTTGGATAGCGAAAGATGCCTTCTAAAATCTAAGCAGAGTATTAAACGGCTTTAGTCTTCTGTTGGAGAAATTTAGCATTAAAAAGTAATGCCTTTATAACGTATATATACGTCAACAGCAGTCAATGTAAGTTTTATGTAAACCTATACGTATGTCGACAGCAGCGAAAGTTTTAAATGTAGTTGTTTTCATTTATGTTTGATATTTTCAACATGAACAGATAAATGCTAAAATCCATCGGGATTATTCAAACGGCAATTGGATTATTAATGATCTAACAACAATCTGCTTTACAAGAACCACCGTAAAAGATTTAAAAATTTGATAAAGTGTAGAAAGAAAGACGACATTTTTTCTCCTTTCAACGTTATATTAATAACGACGAACCTTTAAAAAATCAGATTAAAAATCAAGAGAGAGAAAAATTACCGATTTTCCATAGAATAAGTCAAAGAAGCAGCAAAATTGCTTCCAGAGTTTCGACAAGAATCTGAAGACCATTATGCCTCACTAGGTAAAATGTCAGCTGCGAAGATTCTTACAAATGTATTCCTGAATGATTGTCGGATTGATCAGAGAGCCAATTATAAAAGGTTTTAGCACCCACCTCCAATAGATTAGTTTTTAGCTTGTCCTTCCGCTTGTGCTGTTAGGCATCGCGGGGAGACACAGTCGTCTATTAGCGGCAACGCGAGTGGCCTGGAGGAGAGGTATCTCGTGGGTTCTGACAGAGTCCAGTGTCTTCTTGGTCTGCCTCTCGCTCTCCAGCCAGAGTACCTGAGAGTGTCTGCTCGTAGGGCTGGTTGGTTGATAGGCATACGAGTGAGGTGTCCGAACTACTTGATTCTCTGTCGCTCGATGTGTTGTATGATTGGTATTGCTACTACCCTATCTCTTATTGCCTGATCTTGTCTCACCCCTCTAATATTGTATCAGGTCATCCCATAAGTTCTGTCCGAATTTTAACTTTTTGTTAAAATGAACGAAATTTAAAGAGTATTTTATAATGTCTAATGGAGCTGAACATTATTTTTATGTTTAGATGCATTTAAACTGATCAAATTTTATTTTAGAGAACAATAAAATTAAATTTTGTTTGATTAAAACTCTGCTAACATGGAAGTACCCAAGAATCATTTGAGGTACATAATGCTTTATGAGTTCAAGAAACTCAGCAGCCGGAGCGGCTAGAAACATTCACTCAGTTTATGGAGAGGAATGTGTGAATGAAAGAACTTGCAGAAGATGGTTTGCAAAATTCAGAGGTGGAGATTTCACCATTGAAGATGAAGATCGAACCGGACGTCCAGTTGAGTTTGATGAAAAGCTTCTTGAAGCAGCCCTTGAAGAAAATCCTGCTTTATCAGTTGAGGAATTAGCAGTGGTTCTCAGTTCAAACCATACAACTGTTCAACTTCAACAACTTGGAAAAGTTCCTAAACTTGGAAAATGGGTGCCTCATGAATTGTCTGAAAACAACCTCAAATCCCGAGTTGACATCTGCTCTTCTCTCCATTCTCGCCAACTTGTTTCACCTTTTTTGGATAGACTTGTGACTGGCGACAAAAAATGGATCTTTTATCGAAATGTTAAGCGTTGTAGATAGTGGCTTGGTAAATGGGAAGGACCCCAGCCACAGCCGAGAAGGGAACTTCATGGGCAAAAGGTTCTTCTATCAGTCTGGTCGAATCACCAAGGAATAATCCACTTTGAATTCTTACCACCTAATGCAACAATTAATGCTCAAATATACCGTCATCAATTAGAGCATTTGAACCAAGCTTTGAGGAAAAAAGACCTGCTCCAGTGAATCGAAAAGGGGTGATGTTTCATCAGGACAATGCGCGATCCCACACAGCAAGAATCACGTCACAAAAGACCGAAGAACTTGGTTGGGAGAAAATTCCTCATCCACCTTATTCTCCCGATCTTGCTCCTTCAGACTACCATTTGTTTCGTAGCTTACAGAATCATTTGGAAGAAACAGCTTTTGTAACACAGGAAGAGGTTAAAACTGACATTTGTGAGTTCTTCGAATCAAAGCCAAAAGAATTTTACAGTAATGGAATTAGTAAGCTTGTTAATAGATGGAAGGAAATCATAGATAATCAGGGAAAATACATTGTTGATTGAATCTGTAATTAAATGTAATATTTGGTCACTTGTTTTCTTTATTCAAAATTCAGACAGAACTTATGGGATGACCTGATAGTTAAAGAAAGAAAAAAGAATACTATGCTATCTAAGGTTTAGTACCTTAACTTGAGTTGTTAAATATTTTTTTTTATTTTCATTGGGTTCACCCCAAGCAAGGAAGTAAAGACAAAAATTGTCACTGGTTGTGGAAGAATTCGAAAACAGAAAGTTTGCTAAGAATTAGGAACAAAGAAAGGGTAACCAGGAGAACAAGCGATAAAAATTGGTATCGCGTTTAGATTTTTATATTTCGTATAATTTATGGGGTTCCCAATTCAAGGAGATATTGCCCGTCCATTCAAAACGCCAGAAATTATACTAAAGTTACTTTAACAAGTCGAATGTACCGGAACCATGCTTAACCAATGAAAATCAAAGAACTGAAAAGTAAAAATACTAAAATTTCTTTCTTCTTTTTCTCCATATCTCATTCGCTGATGAAGCTTTAATAAAAGCGAAACATGTCAGATTGATAAACGTTTCCTATTCGATCCCTATCCTATCATTCTGTCGGATTTCGATCAATATTTGATCTGTGTTTGATCCGAATTCATTTGTGTAAATCCTATATATATATATATATATTAAGACATTTTTATGTTTAACATTCTTTTTATAGATACAAATATTTAAGTAAATGCTTTGTTTTATAATAAACAATATTAAACAACATTTACTGGTATGTATGTCCGAGAAATTTTCACAGAGAATTTACTTAAATATTTGTATCTATAAAAAGAATGTATAAACATAAAAATGTCTTAAAATAATTGTCGGACTTTGTCCATTTCATAATGTGTGACGTCATTTGTTTACATTTGATACGCTATGAGCAGATATGAATGTACGTGAGAGATTCAGGGAAGATTAAAGTTTAAAGACAGTAAATTCGACCTTTCTAAGCGAACGCTGTGGCCAAATCGGTAAAGACACGTCAAGCTAAATGACGATTCCGTATAGGATACAGGTTCGAATCCTGTCAGAGGACGAATATTTCCATTGAAAATTTCTCGGATATTCAGGCCGGTAAATGTTGTTTAATACTGTTTATTATAAACGGAGCATTTACTTAAATATTTGTATCTATAAAAATAATGTTAAACATAAAAATGTCTTAAAATAATTGTTGGACTTTGTCCATTTCATAATATATATATACAGAAATAGTTATAGAATATTGCAATGTACCAATACTTTATGAGTCAGAAAGTAGAAGTCGTGGCCGGACATTTGGTCGAGAGACATTTGGCCGGCGGGCATTTCACCGAAAAAATACAAGTAAAAATAGTAATTAAGCAATACTTTAAGTATTTTAATTAGTAGTATTATAAGGTAGAATAGGACTAATAACTACCACTGAATTTCAAGTGATTAAATTACGAAATCTAAATTTAAAGGTAACAGTTTTCTTATTTCAATATCTGTTTATTGAAATTAGTATTTAAAAAACTTTTTGATTATATTTGGGTAAAAAGTAGCACCTAATTGTTTAAATTCGTATTTAACAGTAAGATAAAAGTTTTACATCCTTTAAGATAATGATCATCAAAAGCGAAATTGAAAGATCTTTTATATCGTAAAAGCTTAACATTTTTGGTGTAGTAAAATGTACTTTTCTAACAATACTTATCATCTTATAGTCATATTTTAAGTAATATATATATATATATATATATATATATATATATATATATATATATATATATATATATATATATATATTCGGATATATATATTATGGATTCGAGAATAAAACAGCATTTACCCCCCAGGATTTTGAATCCGTCCTCCAGGAATAGCCAACTGGCTAACAATTCTAGTTCTGCTATTGCTGAACATTTAATAAGTAGAAGGAAATGTGTGAAAATTTTAGTGGTGATATAATTTTATCTAGTTCCCACTCCACATTTCACCTCAAGGTTCTAAAGTCCTTGTATATCAGATCTCGTGAGTCTTACCTTTTGTAAACAGAGGGAATGCTTGCTGGGTCTGAATATTATTGAAATCTAGTTTCTTGAAATTATTTTTCCCCATTCGATTACATTCGTTAATTAAAAATTAATTTACACGTTTTTTTAAATACGACGAATAACTTATTTAAATATATATATATATATATATATATATATATATATATATATATATATATATATATATAACCTGTAAAAGCGAAAAATTATAAATACAGTAAATTAATATAAATATATGTAGCACATTACGATAAAGAGTGTGACATAGATGTCAGTACGCCACTATATTTTCGGCTCTATGTCCTTTCGTTTAAATGTCCGTCAGTCAAACGTTCGTTCAGCGAAATGTCCTTCGGCCAAATGACAGAGTACCACAGAAGTTATCTCCAACGTCTTAAAATGATGAAAGAAAGCACCTTGATTAACCTAAATATTATATCGGAAATTATGGATATCTACATAGGTAATTGGTGCCAAAGCCTTATTAGGAAACATTCTCAAAGACAATAAATGGAGGAATAGCCTCTTCAGTTGCGAGGTGTACGATACATTCTATCAAATTGGTACTGATCAGAAAGCCCTAACAGAAAAGACAAGACCTCATTCTAAGGGCAAATGAGGCAAACAAAATGTAAAATACCCATATTATTGACCCAAAATGTAAAACTATAAACGACTTCATATGAATGTTCCAAAATTATTTTTATTTTTTTATTTCTTTCAATCTGACCGTCATTAGAGGACGTCTTGGGACGATTTCTTTCCAAATATATGCCATTCGTTAAATTAAATGATATAAATAAATGAAGCGAATGAAACCCGTTTTCTATCTGTACAGAAAAACTTAGTTTTCTGTATCATTACATAAACAAAATAATAATTGTCAAATTGGCAGCTAATGTCTAAAACGACCTTCAGTCTGTTGTTCGCTGGGGCAAATGATGGCTTGTTAATTTTAACACCTCCATAACTAGACCGCTCTCTATTAATCATTAGAGACTCTTTTCTGGCTTCCATCAGCGTGGCTAATGCTAGCCTCCAGCTGAATGAATCGTTGCGGCTTCTCTGGCTAGCGTTCTTGGCTGACATGAAGTGAAAAGACTATATTGAATCTATTGCTAGGTGAACTGCCAAGAAAGTTCGTTCGCTGTGTTGCGCGAGGCAATTTTCTTCACAAGTATCTATCTGCACCTATGTATAAGTCTAACATTCGTCAATATTTAGAATTTTGCTGCCTGGTCTGGTGCTCCTGTTATTTACCTAGATTCTTGATAAAATCCAAAGAAGAATCAGCAATATTATTGATCTAGATCTGGCATCACAGCTTCAGTTACTATCCCAGCGCCATAAAATTGCTTTCCAGTGCGTTTTCTATAAACAGTTTTATGGTAATTGTTCGGTGGGCTCTTGCTATGGCACTTTGACTTTATGAATTTAAACGCAGTACTAGACTGTCGTTGAGGTTTCATCAATTTGCAATTGAGTTGCTTAGACGCAACCGCAAGTTCTGTGGTAACAGTGTCTTTTCCTGCAATTCTGGTGCCTATTTTCCAGCCAGCTTTAATCTCCAAAAAGTTAAATGCAGTTTCAATCGATATCTACTGTCCTACTGATTGCTCTTTACTCTTTACGCATCCCGATCATTAGTAATGTTCTTGTTCCCAATTCTTTCACATCTTGCAACCCCTTGTGTCTTAGTGGCTTGAGTTCCTTGCTTGGGTGAAATCGATTAAACAATATCATCTAAAAGACAAGGGTATCAATGCATCAAGCAGAAAACCAATGGTTCTACAGGGTGTTGCAGCAAAATCCGACACTTGACAAAAACAAAACGAAATAAGCAACAAAAACAAATGTTGTATATGCAGAGACCAGAGACTACATTGTTTTTCAATGACATCGCCACCGGCGGCGACGACCATCTTAAGGCGGGCGAGAAATGAGTCACAGCCGAGGCGACTATGTTCTTGTGCATAGCGGCGAACGCCTCCACGATGGCAGCCTTCAGAGAGTCGACCGTGTTGTGGGCGTGATTGTTGGTCTTGGCCTCGATCATGCCCCAGAATATTAGTCAAGGGAGTTGCAGTCGGGTGAATCCGGCGACTAGTGGTGAGAAACATTGTTGAGCAGCCACGCCTGGGTCGTCTTGGCCTTGAATCCAGGGTTTCACCACGCTCCTCAGCACCTCCTGGTAGATCTCAGCGGTGACTCTCACGTCCTTCTGAAATAAGAACGGAGGCATGACGCCCCCCTCGATGGAGATGACGCTAAGGGCCATGACGGAGGAGGGAAACTTCGTTTGCTTCACGACGGGAACCTCTTCGATGTCTTTGTTACCTGTCGTTCTGCCTGTTGCTCGTCTGGTCCTGGATGATATTCTTTTCCTCAGAAGTACTTCAGCATCCCTGCGGGCCCGTGCATGAGCTCGTTCAGTAAAGCTGCCGCCATGACCTTCCTCAACTCCTTGGAGGCATTCGTGATGAGCATGCGATGAGACTTGGTAAGAGGAGTAACCATTGTCCTTCTTGATCGTTCGGCAGATGGTCGACTTGTGACAGTCCATGTCAGCGACGATCTTGGCGTAGCTGTGGCTTCCATCATTGTCGACTGTCTCCTTGACGGCGGCGACGAACTCGTCAGTCCTAACGGCTGAAGAACGAACATTGTGGGCCTTTCGTTTGGCAGTAAACTCGTCCTTGTTCTCACACGCCTTCCACTTCCTCCAAATGTCCATGACCCTGGTCCTCTTGAACCCAAACCAGGCCATCACTTCCGCAGGCTTCTTTCCGACGCGTAAAGAAGCTACTACCGCTGCTCTGCTCTCATATTCCATCCTGGAAAAGGGTAGAGAGAAAAACGTTAGTTAGCTGTCAAATTGTCTGGTATCTGCATATACAACTTTTGTTTTTATTGCCTATTTCGTTTTCTTTTTGTCAAGTGTCGGATTTTGCTGCAACACCCTGTGATTTGAAGTAGAGGTAGACTTGCAAAGCAGTGGGTGTCGGCCAATCCAATGTGGATTCCGAAAGAAGAAAACTCTAAGGAAGATGAACAGTACAGAACGATTTTTTGTCGGACACAGAGAACAAAATCTTCTTCCGCCTCACGTTCCAAAAACTTCGGAATTATCTTGTTGTCCACAATTACATAGATATTCAGTAGAGAAGGCTGCTATCGTGGAGGCGTTCGCCGCTATGGCCAAGGACATGCTCGCCAAAGCGTGTGACTCATTTCGCGCCCGCCTTGAGATGGTCATCGCCACCACCGGCGGTTACATTGAAAAATAATGTAGTGTGTAACTCTAACTGTTGCTAAATAAACTGTCGGCTTTCTGCATATACAACTTTTGTTTTTATTGCCTATTTCGTATTCTTTTTGTCAAGTGTCAGATTTTGCTGCAACATCCTGTACTTTTCCACAAGCCTTCTGTCGAAATATAAACTTGAAACGATTTCGAAGATGCAATAATTTTCAAAGGCTCATCCCTAATTTCCCATTGTCTTAACTCCTTATTTAAATCTGATGTTGGGTTCTGGATATTTATTCGGTAATAATCCCTATATAAAGATGCCACCAGCGCAGTTCTTCTGAGAAAAAAAAAATGGAGGATTCTTCCGGACAACTGTCGGTGTTAGACAGGGATGCGTACTTTCATCCACATTGTTCAACCTATTTCTAGAGAGAATCATGCAAGGCAAGGATCATTTAATCTCTATCGGTGGTGGACCTGTCTCAATTTATGTTTTGCAGACGACAGTGGCCTCATAGCAGGTAGTAATAGTGAGTTACAAGACTTGACCAACAAACATTTTGAAAGAGCAGGAGCATATGGTATGGAGGTCAGCTTCGAGAAATCCAAAGTAATGGTGAATAGCATAAACAGTAACACCTGTGCCGACATTACTATGAACAGGAATTCACTGGAGGAAGTGTTCAGTTTTAAATATTTGAGAGCAATCTCGTCTAAAGATGGTACCTGAAAATCTAAAATCAGCAGACAGATTACCGCAGCCATGGCAGTGATGGCCTAATTGGTAAGAAAATCAGTTTTCAAACGAAGTATAGATTGTATAATAAATTGTTGGTAGTCTCCATTCTACTGTATGGATGTGAAACGTGGACACCGTTGGTATATGCAGAGAGGATACATGCGTTTGAGAACAAATGCATGGGAAAACTCCTTAGCATTTTCTATTGGGGACATAAAACCAATGATTTTGTGCAGAAAAGTGTTGAAAGTTTTATGGGCCACCATGAACCTTTTTTCACCATTGTCAAACGGAGAAAAATGGCGTGGTTTGGACACTTTGCAGAGGACGACAGCCTGTGTAAGGCCATCATGCAAGGAACAGTTGAAGGTGGGCGCAGGGGAGGACGCCAACGTAAAAACTGGTTGGACAAACTATGGACAGGTATGACTGTACTAGAATTGCTGATGGCTGCCGTTGATAGACCGTTGTGGAAAAGAGTTAGCGTGGCTTCTGCATTCGGATCAGCCCGACGATTACAAAAATCAAAGGGATGATGATGATATCTATCTATCTATCTATCTATCTATCTATCTATCTATCTATCTATCATTACAAGGTACAGCAGCCTATGCAAGGCCATCATGCAAGGCACCGTTGAAGCTGGACTTAGGAGAGGACGCCAACGCAAAATCTGGTTGGACAATATCAGACAATGTACAGGTAAGACTATACCAGAATTACTGATGGCTGCAGTTGACAAAGCGTTGTGGCGGGGGGTATCCAATATGGCTTCTGTATTCGGATCCCCCAACTGCGATTAGGAAAAGTCAAGGTGATGATGATGATGATGATGATGATGATATGTCATTAACATTTTAACTGTTGGCTTGAAATATATTCACCAAATATAATTTAAAAACCGTTTACCCCGACTCAAGTGTTCCACCTTGTCTCCACGACATGTCTATTTTCCTTTCAAATTTAATGCTGCGTTCGGTGTGGTGTATAACGGATCGCAATGATAAGCCGAGTTCGAATCGATGTTATAAATTTAACTTACGCGTGAAACAGTATCACATGCGCAAACGCTACCTATTTAAAAATGCTACGAATTTTTGCAGCAAACCAGCGTGAAATAATTTAGAAATTTATTAGCCGTTCGCCATTACACACTGGCCGATAAGATGCCGAGGTTGATGACTATCCCATCTCGCATCCCATATCTCTGATTTCAATATTAAAGAACTCACCAATTCGCCTGACTGGAGCTGATATTACTACTCAAGGCGCGGAGGATTTCTTTTAGATAATTTTTGCTTTTTTTGCGTTTGGCGTCGGCGTCATTACACGCTCTCTGATTTCAGTTCGCTGAATTTCTGCTCGGCCAACCATTAATAGATTTGCTCTTCAGAGACAGAATCATCGGTGTTCTGTTTCTTTGCATCGCTGTGCGACAAACAAAAATCCTATTCGTCAAACTTTCCCCCAAAGCTTCGCCTTAATATAAACGCTGAAACATTTAAGAGAAAGAAAAAAAATGGCGACTATCGCCAAGACGACGTCAGAAGAAAATCATTTGAAACTTCCCAAAGAAGAAGAGCTTATACCCGCCTCTAAAAACCAAACTGCTTTCATTTAACCACCATAAAGAACCTATTCTGCCTGCCATCAGCATGGCTGGTGCTAGACTACAGTAGAGCAAAATGCGACGCCTTTTTGGCTTTACGTTTACCACTGGCAGGAAGTAGGGTGACTATACCAAATCAACAGCTGCATCTACTGCAAGGAAAGTTGGGTCACTATACCGTGACAGAAAAATGTCTCTAGTCAGAATTCATCTTGTACGCGTACAAGGAATACACACACACACACACACACACACACACACACACACACACACACACACACGAATGCACACACATACCAGGATACAGAAGTTGGGGACCAAAACTTGGAGAGTTGACTTAAAAGGGATATTACTGAGACATCCAGAAGAGGCATGGCACATGGAACTAGAACAATCTACCCCAATCGACGAAATAATGGGTTCAGTTCTAAAGTCCAATCACCTGAAGAAGGACGGAGCATACAACGACCGAAACATTGTGTATATGGCAATGAAGATGATGATAACAGTCCCAATCATGTAAATAATGTAAATAATCATAATACCTCATCTCAGAGATATAGGCAAAACTGCTTTTATTTAACCACCTTAGAGAACCTGCCTGCCACTAGTATGTCCACTTTCTTGGGCTCACGTTTTCCATGGACATGTGGTGGAGCTACTATATCGAATCAGTAGCTACATCTACTGCAAGGATAGTTGGTACACTGTCTCACGCCAAAATTTCTCCAGGAGAGAAACTCTCAACGCTTTCTTGGCTTTACGTTTACCACTGGCAGGAAGTAGGGCGACTATACCGAATCAACAGCTGCATCTACTGCAAGGAAAGTTGGGTCACTATACCGTGACAGAATTTGATAAACAAACAAGAAATTATAATATGGATATAAAGTGGGGTATCAAGATTCTTACGATATATCACCATTGTTGCTAGATTTTCTGTTGACACAATGTAGGATAATCAGGGACAAGAGGAAAAGGAAAAGAATACAGATGAATTTGGCTAGATTGAAAAAAATATTCTTTCAAAAATAATTTTGACTCTACCAGCATCTCACGTTTTGTGCGCATGTGTAGGCTTGGCAACATCAACAAAGCCCAGTCCGATGAAATCCCAACGGATTAAACGCGTTCTCTCTCTCTCTCTCTCTCTCTCTATATATATATATATATATATATATATATATATATATATATTGAACAATAAAAAAATATTAAAAAATTAAAATCTTCAGACACACTGGGTTGTAGATTAATATTCTTTCGTTTTTTTTTATTATTATTTCACTTAGATTCCTTGACTAGTTTCGGCCAAAATGGCCATCATCAGGAGAAGAAATATTTCTGCTTGCTGGTAGCAGTAAACTACAGAAATGAATGTCTTGATGGAGAAAATGAACTTTTGTCTGTAGTTTTCATTTGTTTTTTTTTTATTTTTTATCTTTTTAACATGAATCTTTTAACATTCCTTGTGTTGGTCAAACATTCTCTTTTAAGTTGTTATTTGAGATAAGAGCTGGATAGATACATGTTGCTCTGAATTCTCTGGTCAGTTTGACAGTTTTATTGGACCTCGTGAAGGGATGTGTCGCTGTTTAGTGTTTGTGTGTGTGTTATTTGGTTCTTAGGGAGTGAGTGAGTATGATATGTGTAAGCGTGTGTATTGCTGTAGGTGTGTGTTATCATTTGGCTCATTAGGGAGTGAGTGAGTATGATGTGTGTAAGTGTGTATATTCGTGTGGGTGTGTGTATAAGTGTGAGGCCTCAACACCTCCGTAACCATGTCTGTCTTATGAGGGTGAGAAATGTGGGTAGGTTTTGATTTGTTGAGTTATATATTAGTACTACCTATATTGTTAAATTTATGGTTTAGCCCGGCTGGATATTTTGTTTTTAGACGTTGTATCCACTTATTTTCATGGGACTCTAAAATCTTTCTAATGTTATCTGCTCTGAACTTTTCTATTCTTTCAATTATAGTGAATTTGGCATGGGTTTTGAAATCGTGTTTTCTAGGCGGAAATGTTCTACAGGTAATAATTTTTTGGCGAGTCGACTTAATTCGATTGCGATAATTATTAATTCTATATATATATATATATATATATATATATATATATATATATATATATATATATATATATATATATATATATTTACATTTTTTCTTTTCTGGGCATATATAACAGAAGGCGCTTGTACATTCCTTCATTCAATTATTCAGTGTTCGCCTTT